GTCTCTGCCTCCCAGTTTCCAGTGAATCTCCTTCCTCAGCCTCCCAGGTAACTGGGATTACAGGTGCCTGCCACCATGCCCAGCTAATTTTTATATTTTTACTAGAGACAGGGTTTCACCACGTTGGCCAGGCTGGTCTCTAACTCCTGACCTCAGGTGATCCACCCACCCGCCTCAGCCTCCCAAACTGCTGGGATTACAGGCGTTAACCACTGTGCCCAGCCCCCTTTTATAGTTTCAAAGAAACTTAGTATCTGAAATTATTATGCTTTAAACCTTTTTATTTCCCCTTTTTTTCTGATGGAAATGTGAGCTCTATGGGAACAGGAACCTTGTCTGTCTTGAACATGGCTTTCTTCCTCACCAGTAGTGCTTATAGATACACACTCAGTCAATAGCTACTGAATAAATAAGTAAGCAATTTAAAATCCAGCATGGCAATCACATGAAACAGAATTGATTAGAATTCCATGTTTGTGAGTCATAAGCCTGAAGAGTACTATAAATAGCAAGTATATCTGTAAATGAAGTCACATGTCTTATACATCCCAACTATCAGTAATGAAAAGCAAACTTCAATGAGCTGTGCCAGAAGAATGACTGAATTTTCTTTCTACTTGTTCTGTAGAAAATGTTACAAAATTCATGTCATATGAAGAGGCAGTCAGAGTATACAGTCAGGATGTGTGGGAAGAATTATCAGAGAGACGTGTTATGCAATAAAATAACAAGATAATGTTATATTTTTAGGTTTTGTCGGCTTTTTAAGTTTTCAATTTGTGGTGTTTCTTTTTGCTGGTTTTATATTCATTCATTTTTGGTTTTAGTTTTTCTTTATTTTAGAGAGAGGGTCTTACTCTGTCATCCAGGATGGAGTGCAGTGTGTCATCAGAGTTCACTGCAACCTCACACACCTGGGCTGAAGCAATACTCTCACCTTAGCCTCTCATATGGCTGGGACTACAGGAGCAAGACACCATGCCCGGCTAATTTTTTTGAAATTATTTTTTGTAGACATCGGATCTTGCTATGTTGGAAAAGCTGGCCTTGAACTCCTGGCCTCAATCTTCTTACCTAGTTCTCCCAAAGTGCTGGGATTGCAGGCATGAGCCACTGTACCTGGCCTATTTATGTTTTTATTGCATTTTTAAAATAGAGCCAAAAATTTTTTATGAGTTTTAGTTCCCCATACAATCAGGATATTCTTCTGGCAAAAACAAGACATAATTTTATTATCTCAAAAAATTATCCCAACATACATAATAATTTCCATTAATTGAGTGCTTGTTATGGGTCTGATATTATTCTAGGTACTTTATATGATTATCTTATTTAATCCTTAAAACTACCCTAGGGGCTGATATGGTTCTTATTTCAGTAAGTTACAAAAAATGTAAAAATTTACAAGAAAATGATGTAATTTACTGGAGGCCACACAGTTTAAGGTAGTTGTGTCTCTTTCTGCAACCTGTGCTCCTCCCAGCATGCTTTGCGTCTATTATCATGCATGTTGTGTATTTTAGCACTTAACTATATTTTTTTTCTTGTGTAACCTGCCTGCTGCTTTATATTTGTGCTCCTGGATTCTAGTTATAATATAAGCTCCCTTGAAGATAAAGAATAGAACCCTGGTTTCTTCCATATCACGCTGAGCACGTGGCAGAGAGCTGAACTTGTGGTGGAATCTCTTTAATTCTTGACAACGTTGATTAGAAATCACACTTGTCTAGAAAATAACTCCAAGAAAACTACAGAAATCACCTCAAGAATAAATTTAAAAAGCTGTTGTTTCTCTGCCTCCATACCATGCTCCCTCTTGACACTGATGGGGGAAGTCACTGATTTTCAGTTAAAAATGCAATAGGAATTAATATGCAGTTAGAAGCTACAGGTAGGCTTGGCTTTCTGTTCTGAGCCATCGCTGCTGGCGAATACATGTGTGAAATGCTAGTTACCATAGCAACCAGTGTTGCAAGAATTTTTTTTTTTCCACTTTGGTTTATGAATCCAAATCAATAAATGTTTATAAATAACTCTCCAATTGGCTAAAAGAAGTAAAAGCACAAGCCAGAACAATCCTTCTGTCCTGTGAATGTGAGTCATACATATGTTGGCCACATTCTGGGGACAGAAAAAGGCTATCCATGGAATAAACAATTGGCCACATCAGTTTCTTTGCAAGAGCAATTAGGAAAAACCCTGCTGAGTGAAAATCCATTTCACATGCTTACTGACAACAAAGAAGACAAAGTATGCTCATCCAAGGGGCATGAAGAGAAAATTGCAGAAATCACTGATTCAGTAATACAGATACTAGGTCTGAAAGAGAACATTGATGTAATTGCACCTAAGTGATGATATTGAAGTTCAAATGGACTAGGTAGAGACGTTATCCTGCATTTGTGGATTTACATGTTCTCTAGGATATGCAAGCAGAATTCATACAAACATAGAATTTTCTCTGAAGAGTCCCAACAAAAATCAAATCAGGCCACCAACCAGGGTAAGGATTCTTTCTATAGCATTCCAAACAGATGGTCAAACAGCCTCTCTCAGGATATTTTTAGTCAAAGGGAAAGTCATTTTTCTCCAATCTCTATCTAGTAGCTGTTAGATTTATTTCCTGAGCCAAAATCTCCTCCCACTCTCATCCCTTAATTCGTATCCATTGGTCTTAGTTTGTTCTTTGGCACAACAAAGGCCTAATCCACGTGGTTCCTCCTCTTGGTGACAGCCTTTCAAACCTTTGCAAGCAGTCACCGAGGGCTTCTTTAGTCTTCTCTGACTCTTGGTTTGGTTTTCACCTCTTCCCTCTCAGGATGCCCTTGACTTAGCATTCTTCTCAACATGTGGATGCCCAGAATGATCTGTACAAACCCCAGATGTGACTTAAGATTTCAGAGCACAGTGAAACAACTTCCTGTGCTTTTTCTATCTATGGACATGGCTAAGTTTATGTTCAAGTTTTCTTTTCTTTTCTCTTTTTATTTTTATACACACCACACCATTAGCACGTATTAAACTTCTGGTAGGCTAAAACACACAGGGCACCCCATCCCAGAATAGGAACGAATTATATAAATATTTCTCCCAGGAAGAACCCAACTGGGGCAGGGATTCCCTGGCAAGCCACTACCCTGACAAGCAAAAATGAACAGCTGTTCTGATCATTTTGGCAAAGGTTTTTGCTGGCTGACATAAAATGGAGAAGGAGTAATTGTCCACAAGTTGTGCCTTGAAGGGTTATGAGAAGTGTCCCGCCCCAAAGTGTGTCACTCATCTACATGCCAAAATAGTTGGAATTTCACCATTTGGAAAGGTTAAGCAAATCCTAGCTATTTTTTCCCCAAAAGGACATATTAAGTCACTAAGAGTTTAGTGTGAATAGGATGACCACATTTCTTTCTTCAAGGAAAAGGAAACTTGGGACAGTAAGAAATCACTAACTTTCTAGATTTCAAGAGAAGGGAGAGGAGTTAAAGTCAGAGGAAAACGTTTGAAAGAAATTGTAAGATAGCCTGAAGCTTTACCTGTTTGCCCTGCTTCATTATTAATGCTGTTTATGGCCAGGGGGCAAAAGTCACAAACTCAAATGGACACCAATGAAAGAAATAGGAGGTAGATGGAAAACTACAGTGCTGAAAAAATAAACGGATCCAGGATAATGGGGAGTGCTGGGAACATTGGAATCTGGATGGTTCCACTGAAAGGGCAACCATGGCTCAGCTCCATCCAAATATCTCAAAGGCCTTGTATTGGCAAATCTTTTAGATTTTTGGAAATCTGAAGATTTCTGTAAAATTTTCAAGTTTGAGACTATTGACCAACACTTTGAGGGTGAAACAAAATATCTGTACTGCCAAATATTAGAGTCTATATCAATAGGATTGAAGCCATCCTTACAGGGTTAACAAGAATTCTGGACAGAAATATAATTCAAATTAAGCATTAAGACCACACTTTTGGAGCACATCAAAACTCCCACATGGATCAATATTGGGATTGTGCCTGTGAATAGCTGCTGCACTCCAGCCTGGGCAACATGGTGAGAACTTGTCTCTTAAAAAGAAAATCAGGCTGTACTTTGTCCCACTTCCTTGTGACCCAAAGTCACGTAGCACTAGATATTGACTATTTGCATCCCCATTATTCTTACAGATAGGATTTCTGACAGAATCATAAGGCTTTTGTTCAAGAATTTGCTTAAGATGTTTTTCAGATCTTGAATTCCAATGAAATGGCTGACAGACTGACCACCAGCCAGCTCGAAGACCCCCAGAGAGAAATGGGATCAGCATGAGAATATGGTTGATATGGTTTGGCCATGTCCTCACCCAAATCTCATCTTGAATTCCCATTTGTTGTGGAAGGGACCCAGTGCGAGGTAATTGAATCATGGGAGTAGATCTTTCCTGTGCTGTTCTCATGAGAGTGAGTCAGTCTCATGAGATCTGATGGTTTTAAAAAGAGGAGTTCCCCTGCATAAGCTCTCTCTCTTTGCCTGCTGCCATCCATGTAAGATGTGACTTGCTCCTCCTTGCCTTCCACCATGATCGTCAGGGTTCCCCAGCCACATGGAACTGCAAATCCAGTTAAGCCTCTTTCTTTTGTAAATTGCCCATTCTTGTGTATATCTTTATCAGCAGCATGAAAGTGGACTAATACAATGGTTTCTTCATCTCCCTGTCCCATGACTTCATCCTATACTCTCTGACCAATCAGCAAGCTCCATGCTTTGGCCTATTCCAAAACCCAAAACACTGGCCTCAAACTTCACAAGGAGATGGATTTGTGGTTTCCTCCCATGTTCTCATTTGGCATCCCTGCAGTTAAATCTCTTTCTCTGCTGTAATGTGGTGTCTTAGTGTGTTGACTTGCTGTACACATCAGGCAACAAACCTGTTATGGTTACAGGATCTAGACCTACATCTATTGCAACGAAGCAAGTAGCAGAGACTCCAAAAGTAGTAACTTAAATGAGATAAAAGTTTATGCCTTACCTGAGAAAAGCTTCAAAGAGTGTACTTGGAGAGCTTGATGTGTCTTCTGGAGTTTGAGGGACAAATGGATGATACCTGATGGTTGGTGTGTCTAAGGGCAGGAGGCTGTGGCATCTTTCTGCAGTGGCAGAGCAGACAGAAAGAGGGCAATTTTTTTTTTTTTTGCATCAGCATTAGCCTTATTATTTCTCCCAAATTAATGTAAGCAGACAATTGACTTAAGCCAAGCTTGAGGATTTCAACCTGGGAGCATAAATTCAAGCTGCCCTGAAAGTACATTCAGATCAGCAGCAGTTAAATGTGGACTTTTTTTTTTTTTTGAGAAGGTGTTTCCCTCTTGTCACCCAGGCTGGAGTGCAATAGCATGATCTTGGCTCACTGCAACCTCTGCCTCCCAGGTTCAAGCAATTCTCTTGCCTTGGACTCTTGAGTATTCTGGGATTACAGGTGTGCACCACCACACCTGGTTAACTTTAGTTTTATTAGTAGAGATGGGGTTTCACCATGTTGGCTGGTCTGGTCTCAAACTCCTGACCTCAGGTAATTGATCTGCCTCAGCTTCCCAAAGTGCTGGCATTACAGGTGTGAGCCACTGTGCCCGGCCACATGTGGAATTTTTTTTAAGATGGAGTCTTGCTCTATTGCCCAGGCTGGAGTGCAGTGGCGTGATCTCAGCTCAATGCAACCTCTGCCTCCCAGGTTTAAGCAATTCTCTGCCTCAGCCTCCCAAATAGCTGGGATTACAGGTACCTGCCACCACGCCTGGCTAATTTTTTGTATTTTTAGTAGAGACAGGTTTCACCATCTTGGTCAGGCTGGTTTTAAACTCCTGACCTTGTAATCCACCTGCCTCTGCCTTTCAAAGTGCTGGGATTACAGGTGTGAGCCACCACCCCCCAGCCCACAAGTGGATTTTTAAAGGAAAAAAGGAGGTGCAGGGAGTGGGCTGATACAAAGTTGTTGGTTGGGAATTCTCATTGGTTTACAGAAATAACATTGGCTAATAATTGGCTATACATTGTGAAGCTATAGAGCAAGCGTGTCCAACCCTTGGCCCATGGGCAGCATGCAGCCCAATATGGTTTTGAATGAGACCCAACATAAATTCATACTTTTTTAAAACATTTATCAGATTAAAAAAAAATTTTTTTAAAGCTCATCAGCTATCGTTAGTGTTAGTGTATTTTATGTGTGGCCTAGGGCAATTCTTCTTCTTCCAATGTGGCCAGGCAACCCAAAAGCCTTGGTCACCCCTGCTATAGAGTGAGGGTTATTGTATCCAGTGTGGCATTATTAGGTTGATTTATAGCTACTTGTGGCGATAGCAAGCAGTTTCAAAAGATGAATACATAGCTCAAAGGAAGGAATAGGGTGTGTATTAGTCCATTTTCACACTGTTGTAAAGAACTTTTCTGAGGTTGAGTAATTTATAATGGAAAGGTTTAATTAACTCTCAGTTTTACATGGGTGGGGAGGCCTCAGGAAACTTACAATCATGGTAAAAGGGGAAGCAGGCACCTTCTTTACAAGGCGGCAGGATAAAGAAAAGAATGAAGGAGGAACTTACAAATACTTATAAAGTCATCAGATCTCATGAGAACTTACAATTACAAGAGCAGCATGGGGGAAAGCACTCCCATGATCCACTCACCTCCTTCCCAGAACATGTGGGGAGTACAATTTGAGATGAGATTTGGATGGGGACACAGAGCCAAACCGTATCTGGGTGTGATTTTGGTTTTATTTTAATGTCTCTCTGGGCCTGATAATTAAAAACACTTACATTCCTCAGATAAAAGTTTTCTTTTCTCAATGGATTATGCATTTAAATACTCCCCTGTCAAAGAATATTTATTCTAATTTTTTGCTTTTATTAATAAATGCTGGAGTATATTTCCTTCTTCACATGTGATGTTGAATATATCATAGGATAATTACTAAGGTGGAATTGCTGACAAAGATGTGTACTTTTTATTAATTGCCCTCCAAACAGATTGTCCAAATTTATATGCCCTCCAGCAATGCACACTCCACAAATGATGTTTACGTGGACGGCATAAACATAGCAGCGAGCTTGTTAGAAATATACTTCTCAGGTCCCCCCCGACTTCCTTCAGAATCGGAATGTGAATAATATCTCCCGGTGGTTTTTAAGATGTTAGGTTTGAGAAGTCCTGTAACCGCTTTATCCATAGCTGCCAGACCATGTCTTTTGATGGTTTTATTTTGTGTTTCTTTTAGTATGAGAGAAATCGAGCATCTTTTTATGTATCTAAGAACCATTCGTAAGTCTTTATCTATTTAGATTACCTTAACATCTGTGATGTGAATTGCAAATTCTTTTGTTTGTAGTCGTCAACGTGTAATGTTTTTTCTTTGTTGTGCTTAATTTATTTTTATACACTTAAATTTATTTTTGTTATATTTCTGTGTTCTGAGTCATAGAAAGATCTTTGCCCACTCCATAACTATTTACATTTTTTGTTTCCTTTTAATATTTTATGGTCTTATTATTTAAATTTAAATATGTTTTCTCTCTGAAAGTTATTTTGGTTCAAGGAATGCGATGTGGATTTATTTGTATTTTTCCGGTGGCTACTTCTTTGTTCTAATACTGTATATTGAATAATTTATCTTTTCTCCATGTATTTGAAATGTCACTTTTTTCATATACTAAGTTTCCGTGTGTGACCTATCAGTCACTTAGCATATCATGCCACTTTTTTGTTTAACCAGTATTCTCTACTGAACTGCTAAATGTTTTTTCCCAGGACTGTGCTCTTGCCTTCTAGGTGATCATCAAAATGATCAAAACGTACACACCTTGTGTTCCATTCCCTTGGAGTTCCTGTAGGTGATAACTAACCTGTATTTATTTCCTTAATATGAAAAAACAGCTTATCTGGATCTGGAGGTGCAGTTCTTTTTGTTTGCTTTTTTAAAATAATGCCTTAAAACGAAAGACATTCTAGAAGAGATTGGATTTTTAGAATTTATTATTTTATACCACAGAAAGCAGCAGCTTATTTTGCCTTCCTAGTCCTGCCAGAGACCTGTGAACCACAGCAACTCCATCTTGAATGGGGGCTGGGTAAAATGAGGCTGCGACCTACTGGGCTGCATTCCCAGGAGGTTAGATGTGCTTAGTCATAGGATGAGATAGGAAGTTGACACAAAATACAGGTCACAACGACCTTGCTGATAAAACAGAATGTGATAAAGAAGCCTGCCAAACCCACCAAATCCAAGATGGTGACAAAAGTGACCTCTGGGCGTCCTCTCTGCTCATTATACACTAATTGTAATACATTAGCATGCTAAAAGACACTCCCACCAGTGCCATGGCTGTTTACAAATGCCATGGCAACATCTGGAAGTTACCCTAAATGGTCTTAAGTGGGAGAAACCCTCAGTTCCAGGAAATCCCAGCCATTTTCCCAGAAAATTCATGAATAATGTACTGCTTGCTTAGTATATAGTCAAGAAATAACCATAAGTATACTCAGTGGAGCAGCCATGCTGCTGCTGTGCCTGTGGAGCAGCCAGTTTGTATTCCTTTACTTTCCTAATAAACTTGCTTTCAGTTTACTGTATGGACTTATCCCAAATTTTCTTGTGTGAGGTCCAAGAACCCTCTCTTAGGGTGTGGATTGGGACCCCTCTCCACTAACAGTCCCAGGAACTAGGACGTTTTTTTCTGTCATTGTATCAACATCTTTATTGCCTTCTCATCTCTGGTTTGTTCATTTCTTTTCTCCTTGGATCAAAACTTAAAAGTATTTAAATAGGATTTTGACAGAGCCCTTTTATTATCTCTCTTTTTATTTTATTTTTTTTAAATTGTGGTCCAACCCTCAAAACAATTAAAAACAAAAATTGGAACTCGAATATATCACTGAGGAATATCAGTTTCTCCAGATGTTCTTGTGATATTCCTTTTCACTATTTTTTCTGATGACATTAAATGAGGACATGTTATGACCAGAATAAGGCTGGTTCCTGGTTGGTCTCAGGATGCGCCTACAAACACACTGTGTGAATGTTTGCAGATGTCTTTGTGTGAAACATAGGCAGTTTTCCACTGAGAAATGAAATTCAGGGAATTAAACTGAGGATTCCTTCTTAAGAGCAGCAGCACATTTTAAAATAACATTTTAGTTTGGAAGGAGAAGCTCCATTAAACTCAATAAAAAGAGGGAGGTGCTAAATCTCTTTCCTAATCATGGTAATTTTCCCCTTACCCATTTGAGAACACTTTTAAGTGCTTTCCTTTTTTTGCCAAACTCACTTGAATTTTGCAAGCCTGCAATTTGTGGACATTCATTTGTGGCTGATACTGTAAGAAGCAGGCATATATTAGCAAAATATACAGTGTTGAAATCAATTTCCCTCTTTGGGGGCTCTGTGTGGTAATGTGGCTGTGGCTTTGGCCATAGACCACTTATGCACCATACTGCTTTCACAGTCATGCCTGCTACGTCTTAGCTTGAAACACATGAGGCTAGAGCCTGGTGCAGCCAGTGCACTTAGGAAAATGCACCCAAGGAACAGCAGTGTGGGAGGGGTGCTTGGGAGTGTGACAGAGGGAAGAAGGGAAGCCAACTCAAGAGAGTGAAATTGAGCTGGTTTCTCCCATTGTCAATTAGGGACTTAGCCCACTGAAGACCCTCGGAGAAACCTTCTCAAATGTGCTTGAAGATTATTCACAAGAGAAGGAGGAGTATTTATTCCCAGGCTCGACTTCCCTTCCTCAAGAATTGTCCCAAAGTGTTGACTCCCTCCTGTCCCAGTCCCAGGCCCATAAATGTGGCAGGTGGATAGATGGTATCTGCAGGCTTCCCAAAGAGCAGTGACAGAGAGTTCAGGGCAGTAAGCCCGAGAAAGGCTACTCTGCTGAGGGCAGTGTGCCAGGATACACCTGTAAGCCCCTGGCCACCGCAGCACTGGGAAAAGCACAAGGCACACTGAAAGATGCCCCACGCACCTACACACCAGGAAACATATTTCTAAATGTAATCAGCTTCTGGCATTGAATTTTAGGATGGATGTTGGACACCACATTTTAAGATAACCACAGCATGATGATGAGTGGCAGTGGAGTGTTCCTTGCATCCACAC